TTTTTTTTTTTTTTTTTTTTTCTGGTTTAAACCATTACAATTCTACTGATGTTTGACCGGTTGTCATCTTTTGCTCCAAACTTTATGACTAAGAGCGATGAAAAGACGTAACAAAAAAGCCGAAAAAGTTTCTGTGTGCTCATTCATAGACAAAATAAAAACTGCAGATACGTGAGCTGTTTTCATATCGGTCCGGGAATTAATAAAATGTCGTTACCAAGGCACAAAAAACACTTCTCAGTTCAATAAAATTATGTAGAAAAAAGTGAATGTTCAGCTTCTGGTATGTCAAAACTTCTACCACCTTAACCTTCCAAGGAATCTCTGTTGTTTTATAGCTCCCTCGCATAGTTATGTTGCGCATCATATCCCCGTCAAACAAGCTGCTGTTCCATTCTACTCAGTTATTGGGTTACCAGAGGCGTTTGTTATGCTTTTTGATTGCTGTCACTGATTTAGCTTTACTTCAAAACATTTTCAAAACGAGATTCTCAACAGTGGCCATATAGTACGAATACAGACTACTATTCAAAAAAATGACGATAAAGCGCAACAGATTTACGGTAAAGCAGAAAACCATGAAGTACAGGGAGTTTCATTATCCATATAACTAGAAGCGATACAATAAGCGAATGCAAGTAATTGCAATGCTACAAAAACAAAAAAAAGTTTGGTACTGTTCCACCTTAACGTTCCCTTTCAAAAACACAATTTTTTGTCAACCGATAACTTCCATTTTTTGTATTTCAAGTTTTCAGATCCTTCAAATCCAATTAGTGCAATTTTATAAAGTTCTATGCACACCATTTTTGTTTCCTTAGAAAGTAGGTCTGAACAGTAGTAACCATTCTCTGCAACCTTTTCTTATACACAGATACTTGTATTCCATGCAGAATGTAGTATTGATATAGCATCTTCATCAAGTTTTGTTTTCCGGTCCCAACCTCGTGTTGGTGTATAATCGGATGACCATGGCCTAGCTTCTGATCCTGCATAACGCGGTTGATGGCAGCATACTTTAATCAGCAGCTAGACGGTGCAACATTTTTCACTTTGCATTTTGATTTACATTCACATCAAAAAAAAAAAAAATGAGGCAATAAAACCTGGACTTAAAAACACCGACAGGATTATTAATTGCAAGTTTTTCAAGTAATAAGGAATGTAACAGCCAAAAAAAAATAGCAGACTATAACTTTAAAAACAACCTGTAGCTTCAACAGTAGAGATTTACAGGATGCATATGGGCAAAAAATGTTGGGTTATTACAAAAAAAAGACCACCATATATAAAAGCTGCCTAAATCTGTGTTAGGAGAATCTAGAAGTATTTGAAACAACAAGTGTAAAAGAAAAATAAACAAATTAAAATACGAGCAAAAAAGTCATATTCTTGGTTTGATACACTAAGACGAAACAGCGTTACGTGTTTGGTATAGTGGAAATTGTGCTACATTAAAGTTTATCTGTGATTGTTCTGATGGCCAACAGAGAATAACATTTAACCTCAAAAATTTACTGGATAATCTACTGACTCGTTAAAATCTACAGCTGATACTTCATCTAGTGTTACTGCATCTGCTGCTACTACTACTTTTACTGTTGTTGCTACCACTGCTGCTGCGGTTTCCGCTGCAGCTCTATAAATAATACTGGCAACTGCGCATGCGTCGTTTGAAAATCAAAGTTTTGGCAGCAATCCAATTCTGTTCACTCTAACACCTTTAAAAATTTATTTTTTTTGCGTTCGTCGTATTCCGTAAATACAACGGATATTAGCGTACAGTTTTGGGCAATTAAGTTTTGTTGTTATAAATTTTATTTGTTGCAAATGTTCTGTTATGCTTTTTGTTAACAAATTATAAAAATTTATGTACATTTAATATATTTTTTTTTCCAGTCATCATTTACTTATCAATCAAACTTTAACGTATATATTTCTGCGATAGTACTGATTCGCATTTTACGTCGTTTATCGGTTCTCATCCCACTTTATACAACTCAACTTTTGATACATATATTTCATTTGACACTCTTGTAGATGGTGGGTGCGCATGATACTTTTGTCGATGGTGAGTTTTATTTTTGATTTTTTCTTCCCTTATTTACCTGTTCATTTTTTTATTTACCCATCTATCTATTC